GGACCGCGCGGCCGTCCCGCGCCTCCACGGCGAAGCGGATCTCGCGCACCTGCTCGTAGTCCAGGGCGCGCAGCGCATGCACCGCGCCGCTCTCCGCCTGCACCGACAGCCACGACGACAGCGGCGCGCCCTGCAGCTCGCCCTCCGCCAGCCAGTACGTCACCCGGGCGTTGTCGCCCCAGTCCGCGTCGGCCGCCCGCGCGCAGAACACCGAGGCGCCGCGGGCGTTGTTCTCGCTCACCCACACGCTGTAGGCCGCCTGGCTGAAGGCCGGCGCGGTGTCGTTCACGTCCGACACCTGCACCGCGATCGTCGTGGCGGACCACAGCGGCGGCGCCCCGCGGTCCCGGGCCGTGACCGTCACGTTGTAATCCGCCACCTGCTCCCGGTCCAGGTCTCTGGCCGTCACCAAAGAATAATAATCGTCAAATGACCGCTGCAATTTGAACGGGAGGTTATCTGGGATGGAGCATATGATCTCACCATTATCCCTGGAATCTCTGTCTTGCACGTTAAAAATAGCAATGACTGCACCTATCTGGGAATCTTCGGCAACTGGAGTGAAAACGGAATTGACCGTGATCTCGGGTACGTGGTTATTGATGTCAACGACCTCTATCAGAACTTTGCTGTGTGCCGACAGTCCACCTTCGTCCCTCGCTTGTATGTCGAGTTCATAAAAAGCCATTTCTTCAAAGTCCAGCTTTTCCATTACTGTAATATCCCCAGTTTCAGAGTCCACCTTAAAGTTTCTGTTAAATTTCTCCAAAATCTTGAGGAAGGAGTACTTGATCTGCGCGTTTGTCCCTTCGTCCTTGTCGGTGGCTTTTACCAGAAGTACCACGGAGCCCACAGGCACGTTTTCCTTCACATTCACTTTATACACAGATTGGGTAAATTCTGGGACGTTGTCGTTTCCATCTAACACTTGAATTCGGATTACTGTTGATCCAGATTTGATAGGATTCCCACCATCAGTAGCTGTGAGAATCAAATGATGAACTGCTTGCTGTTCCCAATCCAAATATTTTTGCAATATTAATTCCGGGTATTTTACGCCATCATCTCCAGTTTTCACATTCAAGATAAAATAGTCGTTTTCGCTACACACGTATTTTTGTAGAGAATTCAGTCCCACGTCTGAGTCGTGAGCCTTTTCCAACGGGAAGCGTGTGCCAGGTGCTGTGTACTCCATGATTTCTAACACACTTTCATTTTCTGGAAATGTGGGTGAATTATCATTTATGTCCTGTATTTCCACTTCACTTCTATAAAGTTTCACCGGATTTTCTACAAGAATCTCAACATTTAACACGCATTTTGCAATATGACCGCAGGTCTCCTCTCTGTCCACCAGTTCATTCATGTATAAATGGCCGTTTTTCAAATCCAAAGCAAAATATTGCATCCTACCTCTAGAAACCACGCGGGCACCGCGCTCCGACAGGGCCTTGGCTTCCAGCCCCAGGTCCTGCGCGATATTGCCCACGAAGGAGCCTTTCTGCATTTCCTCGGGGATTGAGTAGCGGATCTACCCGGCCACAGCGGCCCCGCACACTGCCAGCACCACGCAGCACAGTGCGGCGCGGCTCTTGCAATCATGTCGGCTTTGTGTTTCTGCCATTGTTGAGTAGATACACAACATTTTCCCCGTTCTTTCACCTCCGTGTGTCGTGATTAGGGACCTAGGCTGTTTCTGTCCCTGCTTCTGACCAAAGCCTACAGGAAATCTATCAAGGACTCATCTTAATCAGTAACGTCCCCTTTCTATTCTGATCCTGTTGTCTTGCTGCTCCACTTTGTTTGCAGTTTCACGGTTTTGCTAGATCTCTTTTAAGGGTCTACCCATAGTTAGCAAACAGCGACACTCAGAGTGTAAATAAGGAACAGTGAAATATTCTATTTTCAGAGGGTCTTTTGTATTCACATTCCAATTGCCTTTATTTTTATATGAAATAATACATACATTTTAGCATACTGACAGTGCTTTACTAGTATTATAGCAAATATCTATTAGTGATAGATGGTAATATATGTATTAATGGGAGTTCATAAGCACAAATTGGAACATTTATAATTACACGTGTTGTGCTTATCTGTGAACCCCATACTATTATAGGAATATAGTAAACGTTGTATCTTATCTCACGATTAAAATCCAGTTCAAGTACAGGGAATAAAATGAACGCAATGCAAACATAAACCCAATTTTTTATATAACAATATAATATTATATAGAAGTCACAGTACCCTAAGGGATTGATAATGATATTAATTTCCTTCTTCTATTTCTATTAATGTCTTACTAGTGCGAGAAAATGTTGTGGTCTCTTTGTACGTTTCTGCTATAAAATTATGTAAGTGGTAGTAGAGCATGACATTTCCCACCAGCTTTCAAGGGATTGAAAAAGTGTGGAGATTGTATACAAAAATATTACATAGACAAGAAAGAGGAGGTATGCCTTTGGGCGTTTTGTAACATACAAACAAAACATGCACAGACATAAAAAGGAACAAATAATATTTATATTGCAAGAAGAGATAAAACTAAAAAGGGAAAAAAGTTAACATTTCCACACAAATATGGAGATGTATGTATTCTCGAAGTGCCACCTTTACAGTAAAGTCACAAGATTAATCAAATATAATAATAGACTCAAATCGAGGGGTTCTTCCTCAGTTTTTTCTTCCTTCGTGTTCAGATCCAGCCTCAGAGAGCATCCTTTGAAGATAGTGGTCGTTTCCCTGAAAAAGGACCAATTAAAATGGAATAAATACTTATGTTTTGTACTTTCAGCATTTGTCCAAATATCAGTAAATCAATTATATCATTTGAGCAATGCACAACTGTTACAATAAGATGAGAAGAAATTCTTACAGTAAGGTACGGGGATAAAAACATAGGCATATAATTTAAAATGTTGAAAAAAGGCTTAGATACCATCTCTCTCCTTTTAGCCATTCAGTTGGTAGGGGGCAGCAGGGCACAACTATTCAGGGAGTCCTCTTGATATACCAGGAGCCTTTCCTTAGATGTATGCCTTCCCTCATCTACACCAAGGGCCTCTCCCAAGTTCCCAGGTATAGTAGACTTTATATTCTCACACATCTCCCCAACTTCCCATCCTGTGTCTAAAATAAGGGCATGAAAAACTCTTGCCGATATCAGATGGTTCATTATAATCGGTTGATATTGTTTTACCTTTCAAAGAAAGTATGCAGAACTACCAAAATATAATTGTATTTCTATTTTAAGGATCCCTCTGTACTGACACATTTTCTACAGATATGGTATTCTAAGGATTCAAAGGCAGTCAAGCTCGAGATAATTGGACTGAGAAAAGAGCTCTGCAATAAGCAGAGAATGAAAACTTGCGTTGTGGGTAAAGACTCCAAGATTTAGCCCTTTATTTCACCTTATAGTGTAGCAGAAAGTCCCCTTTTCCTCTTGCCTGCATTTGCTCTCCCCTCTTTGGATATGTTTCTCTTCTTCTACCTTTTCTTCCTTCCTCTTTCTTTCAGTATAAGATAAGGAATTGTGTTTTAAAGTTTGTATGTGTGTATTTTGTATCTCCCCTTTGTGGTGGGCATGTTTGTTATTATCCTGAAATAAAATAGTTTTCTGATTGCATACTGTTAGGTTAACAATAATTTAGATTATTAAGAAGTATTAGCTTTACAGCTGAATACAAGGCATGACCTGTGGCCTAGCAATACCGCTGACCACAAGGCAGAATGATAGCTAAGCCTTTGCTTATGTTAAGTAATCATTTTAACTATGTTAACCATTTTCTGAGTAAAATGCAGCAAGTTTTTGCTATGTAAGTCTGTGCTATAAATCTGCTACAGCAAGGAACAAGATAAGACAAAGAAGTCATTGTTCTAAGTACAGTGATCGTGTCCTTAAGAAGTATCTACTACTGTGCAAGTTTTTGCTAACGTATCATAATGTTACTGTTACTTAACTTTTAGCTTTTAGAAAGTGCTAGTTCAGCTTAATAGAAATATGCTGTTATGAAGATTTGTAAACCACTGCTCAAGTATTGCTTT